GGCAGGCAGCCGCCCCGCTCCTCCCCCGCCCCTGCAGCAGCTGCCGCACCACCAGGTGATGGTGATGATGCTCCAGATAGCGNGGCGGCGGCAGCAGCGAAGCTGGCTTCTGGGCTTGTCTCTTTTTTCCTCCCTTCCGAAGCTGCGAAGAGTCCAAGCCCAGCCCCGGGAAATAGTCCGCCGGCTGCCGCTTCTCTCTCTCTCGCCCCAAGGAAGGAGAGCTGCTCTACCACCACGTACACCTCACCCTCGCCTTCCTCCTCCCATCCACGCACGGGCAGCCCCTGGAACAGCCGCTGCCAAACGCCTTGCTCTCCCTCCCTCGGGCCAGCCGCGCGGCGTTTCTCTTCCTTGCTCGCCGCCCCTCAGCACCTTGAAGGCGGCGGCTCAGCCTCTGTTCACACGCCCTCTGGAAGAACACGGAAAGCCGGCTGTTCCCGCCCTTGTCTCTTGACACACAAGCACACGCGTCCTTTCCTTTCGCGACTGCAGGCGGCCGACGTCCGGCTTCGTTTTCATGCAAACCAACCCCCGGCGAAAGCAGCGAGCGAGCCCGCCCGCCCGCGTCCCGCTCAGCCCCCTCCCCGACACCCAGAGGAGGAGCCGCCGGCGCGCCGCAGCCAAAGAGAGAGAGAGAGCGGGGCCGGCCTCAGCCAATCGCTTAGCGGTAACGCCGCGCGGGGACGAGTCTTTAAAGCATCCGCGGCGACCGAGCGCGAGAGCGGGAGGGAGGGGCGAGCGGGAGAGGGGGCAACCCGGATCGAGGGCGGGAACTGGGCCCCAGCGAGGGCGGGGCGGCGGCTTTGCTGGTCGAGTTCGTAGCGCGAGCTGTTGGCCCGCCCGTTGGCGTCCACGCTCGCCTCCGGGGCTGTTTTGTTGTCTCTCGTTTCCAGCTCTCTCGTCAGGAGAGGAGCCACCGAGACCTGCCGAAACCGGCTGTCCGGAAAAAAAAGAGCGTTGAGCGAGCGCCAAGCGCCGCCTGCTGGTCCCATCGGCAGGGAGGATGCCCCCCCCCCGCTTCGCGCTGCTGTCTCGGTCCCGCTACCGCCTCGAGGCTGCTCTCAGGGAGGAAGGAAGGAAGGAAGCAGGGAAGGAGGAGGGAGAGGGAGGGAGGAATTCAGTTGCGGCGCCCGCCCGCCCGCCTGCCTCCGCCTCCTCACGACGGACAGCGAGTAGCAACGCCTGCCCCCCCCCACCTCCGCTGGGACAGCCGTAGGGTCGGGCTCGGAAGTTCTCGAACCCCCCCAGTTCTCCGTGGGAGTCGGGAAGAGCAGCCTAAAATCTCGCGAGGAGGTGCGCAGGCGCGACCAAGGCGGCAGCCAGTTAAGGCACGTTTATGGGATGGACGGTGCGGGGTTTACTCCCGAGGAAATCTGTAAGGACCGCGCTCCGTAT